GTCCACTCTAGCCACAACAAGCTTAGTGCTGTACCTCTATGCCACCACTAGATGTCCTCAGGTGTCCATTTTCCAACACTTAAAGCAAACAATTATTTCCACTTTAAAGTTTCTTGAATTTCACCCCAATATTCTTTCCAAAGAGAAAACCCTTAACAGTTTTCTCAATTCTGCAGTTTGTCAACACTCTATCTTTATAGTACTTCCACTTTGGTATTATATTCTTCTTTATTTTTGTCCCCCCAAAAGATTGACCCGCCACTTCTGTTTCTCTGGAAGGGTGGAGCAAAGATCCCCTTCCTTCTCACACTTGGGGATTTCTTGTTTTATGGGAGTTTGTCTTATCCAGGGAGTCAGGTATTGAAATAGTAGAGAAAGGATTAATATTCTCACCCAGTTCCACGCATGTTGTTTAGAATGCTGGTAATGCTGGTGCTTTCTTTGTTCGGTTGTTGGTGGCTTGGGCTAGCCACAGAAATGCAGCTAGCCTTTCCCCTGCTGGTTTGGGGGGTCTTTCCTCAGATCAAACGGATCGACCGCCATCTTTCCGTGATCTACGAGGGTCCCCTCTTTCATCGCCTCTCCAGGGTGACTTTAGGCCCATTTAGGGGCCCCTGGCAGGGCGAAATCAGCCGTGGAAAGCGGAGCCCCACTTTTCTTCAGCTGCATCACCACGACACAAACCAGAAGTCAGCTAAATGTAAAATGATTTTTAGAACTGCTTATGCATAATGGAAAAAAAGTTTGAACCTGCCATTTCTCTTTAACACTTATATATGCAATTGGAGAACCTGAATAGGATTCTATATATCTGGGTTCAGCCCTCATTCTTGTCCCCTGCTTGAAGCAAGCTGTCCAACTGTTTATTCTCCGCTATTAAAAACATATTCTACAAGTCACGTTTCACTTAAAAAAGACCAAAAAGTTTTGTTAAAATTGGCAAACAACCTGCTCCAGGTTTTCTGTTTTGGAGACACAGGGGAGAAGAAGCTACATTAGTGATATCATAGCTTTCAGTTAATTGGTGACTGCAAATACAGGTAGTCCTTGACTTATGACCAGAATTGGGAGCAGAATTTCTGTTGCTAAACAAGGTGGTTATTAAATTCATTTCATTTTTCATTTTATTCAATTTGTATCCCGCCCTTCTCCCGGAGGACTCAGGGCGGCTCACAACATTTTTTAAAACAAAAACAATCCCACAATCCCCGCCGAATAAAACCAATTAAAACCCAAATATTTTAAGTTGTGACATTTAAAATTTTCTAAAAATGAACCCGATTTAAAATCCACCCTAGGCCAGGCCCGC